TTTCCAGATTATCATCGAAAGCATCATTCATATTTATATGATAATCTTTATACAAGCGAGAGCTTTTTTAGTTCTTAGACTACTTTGCCTCAATTACAAAGTAGTCAAAGATTTACTATAAAAGATACATCTACGAAGATACGTATTAGTTGAATTTCGATGATCATTGATAGAGAAAACAGTTTTCTTTTTTGAGTTATTGGATATCTATATATAAACCAGATCGTTTCGATCATCAATATGAAACAGTGTTCTGTTTCATATGATTCTTTCCTTGAGACTTTATTCAAAATTCAAAGAACCTTGTAAAATTTAAACTGCAGTTTTGTGCTAAGTATGTTCTTTCAACAGTATTGAGATTAGAAAACCTGATTTAAGTAGGATTATTTCTAAAGAAACTATTTCTACGTAAGAGTTGAAGTGTACAGGTTCAAATTTAAACTTTAATCAATGATTTTATAGTGAACTGCATCAAGTTTACGGCACGAAGGAGATAGATGCGTTGGTTTTTTTAATAGTTGAATACATGCAGTTTATCTATTTAAACATATTGAGAATATCTTCTATAAGAAATGTTGACAATGATCAATCAAAACACTAGCAAAACGATGAAAAAAGTTAACTGCAGTTGATTGAAATAGACAGATAAGATTGATCAATCTTACTTTTGGTTCAAGTACACGAATATCGTGTGCATTTCATTTTATCGATCGTTACATAATAATACATAAGAATAGTTTGTAGAAGTCAAAATCGTGAAATAGATTTTGTTTTGTTCTTTTCTTGCGGTGATTAAAATAAGACGAAGATATAATTGCTTTTAATCGAAATAGATAGGGTTTTGCGTGTAACATGAAATATTAAACCATCTGGTGATTTCAACTTAAGAACTTATGATACTTATGCCAGATATGTATAACTTTGTTCGTACATTATTTTATAGAAAAGCCATTGAAACTTAAATAGTTATTATTCGCGTAGAATCATCCTAGCATGTTCGTTTTGGAATTCTTGCAGCAATCTTCTTCTTTTCTAATAAATAGTTTTTGTAAATTTTTCAAATGATATTTATTCTTCACCATCCTCGTCAGTAATATCTTGAAATACAAAGTCACTGTACTATTCAAAAATTCCTATGAAATCACTAGTTATTGAAAACAATAATATAAATTAGGAATCTTATTGCACATTGGCTGATGTGGAGCTAAAAGAATAAACATATATTAGGCACTGAAAAACACGCACCAGATTATTTTTTTTTCCTATATTTAGTGAATTCAGGTCGCTGGTCAACGACAGGAGCACTTGCGATAGCTCGTGCTTATCACACATCAACCGTTCTCTTGAATGGCCGTGTCATCACCGTAGGAGGAAACATCAATGGTAATACCGTGGAACTTTACAATACAACGACACAAATCTGGAGTGCAGGTCCGCCAATGACTGATGCTCGAATTCTTCACACTGCTACTCTCTTACCAGATGGCCGATTAATCATCACAGGTGGTTATTATAATAAATTTCTTAAAACAGTTGAAATCTACAATCCTACAACCAATACTTGGTCAACTGTCAGCAGTATGAATACGGCTCGATATGGACATCAAGCTATCTATTTACCAGCACCATCAAACAAACTATTAGTCATGGGTGGACACGGAAACAACAGTGTCATGTTACAATCATGTGAATTATATGACTTTGGTACGAATACATGGACATATACAAATTCGATGATTGAAAAACGAGTTTACTTCACAGCAACATACCTTCCTTCATTGAGTAAAGTATTAGCTATAGGAGGTACTGGTACCTTGTATGGTTCAGCCGAAATGTTCACTATATCATCTTCTCAGTGGGTCCGTAGTGCAAATACAATGCCAAATGATAGATACTTTCACACGGCCACATTGATTCCAGCTACTGGACAAGTTTTGATTGTAGGTGGTTATGACAATCCAGAACGGACTTACATTTTCAACCCGACGAACAATTCTTTTACGATCGCTGCAAGCATGGGACAAGGACGAAGAGAAATTAGTGCAACTTTACTGCCATCCGGCTTAATACTCATTGCTGGTGGATCCTTCAACAGTAGTTCACTCTGTCGTACGGCTGAGGTGTATGATTATCGACTGAACATATGGCGTCCTGTAGCGAGTATGAACGTTGCACGTTCCCTTCATACGGCAGTTTTATTGAATGCTTCCTCACAAGCACCGGTGGTGCTTATTACTGGAGGACAGATAGGCAATAGTGTATCGACATCTAATTGTGAATTATTCAATGTGAATGGTTAACAAAAAAAGTTTTGTCGACATCATAGACAATTAAAGACTTTGTTTTTTAATCATCTCTCTCATTTCTATGCAACAATACAGTTTTCATGTTAGTCTTCTTTTTAAATCAGAAATGAATTATTTAATATCAATATGACATAGTTTTAATTTTATTATCAGACATATTGACAATTGACGAAAATAGTAAATCATTTTTATTTTTTTTTTCAGCAATAAATGTCTCGTATCTTGATGTTTTAATCTATTTTTAAGCAAATACATTTATTCTTTAATGTTGAAAGAATTTTATATCGGACTATATCAGTTAGACAAACACATGCGTATTTCATATTAAATGAAATTCAACAACACTTGTTATTAGTGTATTTTAGAAAAGATTCTCATGTAAATAAAATTGTTTTGCAGTCACATGCTGCTGAGTCAAGTTTAACTGTTTTCATCTCATCGACAGTACAACCTGTTTAAACAACATCTCAAAAGTTCTGAAACTGCTTTAAAAGTTATTTAAAGTTAGGGATTGATACTTTTTACTATTATTAAGAAACCAAAGCAACATTATCACATCTTATTTTGTCAATTTTTTTAGTAATTTAAAGTGATGAAATATGATAGTGAATGTTGATCCGTTCGTTGGTTTCATTGACACGTGTTCAAATGATAAATCTTTTCTTCAAATAAACATTTTTTGTTTAAACTATGTCGATAAGAGAGATTCTGTTCAACATTTGCAGAAAGAGATAACTGAACACGAAGCTCACAGGTATTCTATAAAACAAAAACGAAATAGTCACTTCGAAAAGTCATATGTACAACAACGTGAATCATTTGTATGAAACCATTGTTTTTACTTCTTACTTTTTAATCAAGTATAAGTAGCATTTAGTTTGCCAATATAATAGTAATTTTTGATAAGTAAACAACTAATATGCATGATTAAATTAATAAAGTAAAAACTTCTCTCTTGCTTTATGACGACAATCTCATCGATTTATGTCATGGGTGCACCTTGGAAATTTCCAACCATCTACTTACTCTTGTTAATCATGCCCATTAATATGTAGGTTAATGAAAAGATAGTACTGAATTGTTGTATCATGAATAATATTTGTATCGAAGCATGACAATAACAAGATCGATAACTCGTTCATGTAGGTTAGAAGTTTCCAATCACATAATTACTCCTATCATTCATGTCGTGTCGCATGTAATTTGAAGAATGTCATATACAATTATTGTTTTAGAACTAATATTTCTATTAAACAATGACCAAAATAAAATAGCCTCATCGTTCGTGCAAGTTGAAAATTTCCAACCACATCATTGTTCTTGTCATTCGTGGTCATTAACTGTATAGAACTTCAAGCTTACGTAGTGCATGACTCGGAATTAATGATCGGCTCATGTGTAGGTGTGGGTGGATGTGCATCACTAGAGAAACCCACGCCTACACTTGCACTCACTCACATACACACCTACACTTACACCCACATACCCCACACCCTGATATGAATGATGTTCGAATTTATAGTCGAGAGTTAACCGTCAGCGAAGCGAATATACTTTACTTAATGTAATTGAAAAAGATAAGCTGTACATCATTAATTCATAAGAAAAAGAACAGAAATACAAGAACTTATGAATGATAAAAAAAGCCACAATCAGAGATGCTCGAATATTCGTTTATCAATCATAACGAGACTCTACTGTATTGCTAAAACTAATGATTTAAAAGCAATTTATAATCTTTCTGTGCCTACAAACTTTTGGAATATTTTTAATCGAGAAACAATTACATAAATTTCCAATTGATTTTTCTTCATAGAACGGTTGAGGAGAAACAGCTCATCGTGTTTTTTTACAGTTATAAATAATTTACAAAACACGTAATTTCTTATGTTTCAACGTACTATATTTGAAAAAGAAACCCATTCAATAATAACGTAATAGAAATGTTATGTTTCAGATATGAAAAAGACTCTTTCACATTCGTAAAAATGACTATCAAAGTTCCAATCAGATAATGCAGCACAAGCATCGAACTAAAAAGGCCAAAATCAAATTACTATTTTCGAAAAGTGAACTGTTAGGAAAGACTTAAATTTTTCGTGTCTGATCGCAGCTAACAAGAGAATCTACCGGTGGACTAGTGTAACTTAATTTTGGTTCGAATATGAACATGTGTTCGGCAACAAATTTTGTATCGAACAATAGCAAAATAGATATCGTTCTTGATTGATAAAAAAATGTTTTAAATTTGCCTGTTTCATTAATTTTCAATGTTTTTTTAAAGAATATTAAAAAATAAAATAAAAAAAGTCAGTTCATTAAATAAGGCAAAAGTTTTAAAAAGATGACATTGATAATGAGTATGATTTCGAATGGACTTATCGCCGCTGACCGAGATGCGGGCTTAGTTTGATTTACAGACAATTCATAAACGTGCAATAATCGAGTTACTTCTCGTCGTGCACTTAGCAAAGCACCATGTACACACTCATAAAATTCCTGGGATGTGGCTTCACCTGCAAAGAGTAGTTTATTAACAATTGGTTTACTAATATATATCATATCTTCATAAGTTTGGTGTTGAGATAAGTACGAATATGAACCATTGGAAAATAGATCTGATTTCCAGCGTGGTACAAAGCTATCGATAGGCATCGGAATACTTTGATTTGGAAACATTTGTTGTAACGCATTTTGCACTTCTTCAACAGCTTGCTCATTTGTTAAGGTTTTTATTCGATTGGCATCACCACCAATAAACACACAGACCAGAGCTGGTCGGTCGTTCCATTTATTGACGCTAATCCAAGCACTGAAAGGAGATGGTTTCGACGTAACACGCTTAAAATAATAACTTACTGAAGTCCACCAAGCTTTGTCCCATACTAAAACAACTTTATCCATAAGTCCGTATCCAATTCGACCGATAGCATTCGATTTCCATTGTGGTAACAGTGGTTTGAATACAATTTGTCGACCTTTTAATACACCCAAAGATACTATTAAGAGAACATATTGGGCACGACAGACATGTCCATTTACAGTTTGCACTTCAACTAAATCCTGATCGTAACTTATTTTATTTACGATTTGTTCAAAACGTATATCACCATCTCGAAAATCTTTGACTATATAGTCAATAATTGAATGATAACCAGTATCATGAAATATCTGGTCTACACCATAATAACTAGCGGTAATATCAACAAAATTCTTTGCATTAATCTTATCGATTTCAGTGCCTTCATTAACTTCGATAGTCGTATGCAGATAAGAGTAAAATGCATCTCGCTGTTCGCCAGTCATATTTTTCCTTGTAAAAAGTGTCTCAGCATATTGTTGGAGAGATTGATTTCCTCCCCATGTTTTGGTCGTTTCTTGGATGTAATCCATATAATCATCGAACCATACGTCTAGATTGCTTGGTATATTCTGATCGATCGTATTAAAACTTTGTAGTTCACTAAGTGTTGTACTACGAGTAGGAATTTTAGCTTGCTGGACAAGGTCTCATAAGGGATTCGATAGAAAACCATGTGGTATAGATCCATTGACACTATGAATCCAGTTTGCACCTAAATCGAGTACGTGGCCATTTTTTAACTGAACCAGCCAGATTCGGCCACCAGTACGATTTCGTGCTCCAATTAGAAACGTTTGTACTCCATTCTGTATCAATAAACGAGCCGCTTCTAACGAGGGAACTATCCCAAGTGTTAATCGCAGATTCGGGCGGGAGTTATACCAGTCGACAGAGCTCGACGAGCTAATCACTGTAGTAATAAACGTTTCTCCTGATGGGTCTTTTTTTTATAGAATTTGTCTGATCATATTATCTCTATGGCACATACTATGCAAGGATATATTAGATTTGTTCATTGTGAAAGACGCATGAGAAGTAGTTCTTTTTATTAATGGAAATGATAACTATTGAAAAAATGTTCAAAACAAAGGATATGTCGACAATCACTACAAGAAATAAATGGATAACCGTTACAGTTACTGGTAGAACATTGGTCTACCTTGAAACTGAAGCAAATTTCATTTATATTCGAAAATGACAGATATTTTGGCGGAAAATATCCACAAACTGACCATGAATAGGATATCATTGGTATAAAAATATCAGCAGAAAGTTGGTTGTGAACGAGTGACTGCATCTTGATAATGGAATCTCGAGCCCTCAAATCAATATTGAGATCATCTATCAATACATGGTGATAGATTCTTCGTACTAAACTTTTCCATTGACGAAAGAAATATCGATCGCAAGGTTGTTTTGTTGATGAAACCTTTCGTGGTATCACCATCAATTTACAAGATTGTCATTTGTTTAAATTATCTTCATAAATAGAATTATCGGTTTGAATGGACCATTGATCGACTAATAGAAGAAACCGGTTGTTCGTGACATCGTCGAGGATTCCCTGTATCCAATACTCCATCAACGACTTATTTAATTTACCAGATATACTACAGGTGACGATCACGTTCGAAGTTGAAAACACATCTTTTGTTATCGGAAAACGACTTGTAGGTTTTTGCAAACAGATGAAAACAGGACCAACGAGTCGACCAGCAGCATTGACAAGTGGCATTACAGTATACGAATGTGTGGTGGCGTTGAGTGATTTAACGGTGACAAACGTCGATCTTTCATTTGGAAAAGATAAAGTACGATTTGATGTAAATTCGTAATGAAAACCTGATTGATCAATATTAAAAATATATTCAAGCTTGTACTTCGGTAAGATCTTTTTAACTTCACTAACGAACTCTTCGCCGGCTTGTTGAATTTCTTGTTTATGAAAAACCTTATGTTTTGCTACGAATTTTGTGACTTTCCTAGAGCGAATGTTATTTCGTCGTTTAAAATTCGACAACCATTTGTCGTTAGCGACGAAATTATCGATACCTGTCACTGCAGCTTGAGTTAATGACCATCGTCGAATGTCTGTATCATGAACCGGCAAATTTGCATCGCATGCTTGTTTAAACTTTTCAAGAATAGACAATTCAAGACGAGATAGTTTTTGTCAACGATTTTAATCTTTCTGCACATATTTTCGAAATCGTACTAATTGCATTGAATATTTTACACGTGGAAATTCATGTTGTACTGTTGTAAATGCGATACCCGGTCGAGCAAAATCTACAACTTTTCTCATATAGTTCAACGTAAATGCAGTTTATTCGGAACTGGAGTCGCTACTATTATCTTCAGGCGTAAAGTCGATATCAGTATTATTGATATCAATATTGTCGACGAGCTTCAGAGTAGTATCATCATCAATTTCATAACTGTCGCTTGTAAAAATGTCGTTCAACAGACTTCAGTATTTGATCAGCGATTGAAGTTTCCTTCTCGGTCTAGTTCGTTATCCGAGCGATGTCTTTTGATAATATTTCATCGAGTACACGTTTAGCGATTTTTACGATATTTATCATTTTGATAAAGGATATTATCCTGTTGAGAGGCTCATTCTAAAGATCGTAGAATGTGGCATGTTTTATTGTAAACTTATGTTCTCTGTTTTATAAGTGGACGTGATGGAAATATCCATGAAGATAAACATGATAGGAATAATCCGACAGTGGCGAAGAGAATGAAGAGAACAATCCAAATGATAAGACGAATATGATAGGGAAAAATCCATACGAGAAGGAAGAAAAGGAAAAATTAACGCGCTGCGAAAGAAAGATGTACTGGAATAGAAGGATCACGCAGTTGATCTTGATCACTCCATGACGATTTTATATTTGTTTTTGTTTCGTTTTCTCGTCAAAGGAACATGGTGCAACCATAGAACAGAGAGAGAGAAATAAAAATGAAGAAAGAGTAAGCGGTGATAATAATTCTCCTTTCTTTTCTCTCTGTCTATATGAAATTATAGTTAGAAGAATACACAGTCAGTCGTAGAACAGTTCATGAGCAGGACAGCTTTATAACTTATACTATTACTATTCACAAGACGTAGAAAACAAATATTCCACGTAGAAAAGAAATAAAACGTCAAGTTTGATCATTGCAAAGAGTAGGAATACGATACACACATACGAATCGATGAATTTGACGCTCATATGCTATATTCCATTGGATAAATTTCACCATAAAATTCTTTGAAAACGGCCTATCAGAAAAACACGTATTACTACTGTGCTCAGCTCGTCGAGCTCTATCGATTGGGATACCTCTCGGTCGAATCTGTGATTAACACTTGGAATAGTTCCCTCGTAAGTTGATACGTTGGAGTATCTTCATTTTCAAATAAATTCCGTTTTCGAAAGCTTTGTATGCAATATTTCTGCAGCGACATCTTATTTCGTTCTGCGTTGCACAGACATTTAAAACAAACTCTATAAAATCGTTGTCCATTATGGAAAAGCTTCGTTTTCATATGTGCAAATATTTTCTGTGAAATCGTTTGAATGATTTCGAAGCTAAGCTCTAGTCAAAAGAATTTGTGAAAGATTAAATTATCAAGAGTGTAACTGAAACATTGTTTGAAAAATGTTTATTATATCTTTAACCTTGTGATTAAAATTTGTCTAAAATTTACAATTTACATTTACATTTATAGAGTCACTTCCAACCACTTTAGAGACCTGTGTTCTGTATCTGATGGAGTATAGCAACAGTTTCTGATAAAGCATTTAAAGCTGGTCACAAATACTATGAAAAATTGTGGGAAGTCTAATAGTTATCAATACTGGAACTCTACACATACTTGTCTCGGAATTCATAGATTTGGCAGGAATTGGTGCATCTATACTAAAACTAACATATTTCTAGTATTCAAAACTATTAGACTTCCGATACCGTTTCATGGTATTTGTGACTAGTTTTGAATGCTCTATCAGAAACTATTGTTAGACTTCACCGAATGCAGAAAACGGGTCTCTGAAGTAGTTGGAATTGACTCAAAAAATGTAAATGTAAATTTTACACAAATTTCAGACGATTCTGGTCAATTCTGAAACCTTTGTCTCTGTATTCTATGAATTTCGACCACAGCTTTGGATAGAACAAGAAAATCTGAGTAAGGCTGATACAGAGAATCAATAGGAACTTACGTTATATATGCACAACATACCTATCTTTGGTAGAATGGTCTAGGAATTGGTGCATTCTACTTGATACCATTTCGTTGATGGTCTAGTCAGTTTTTTCCTCACTGTTTCAAGAATGAACATCTCGTCTTTCAATCTTATCAATACAAACAAATTTGTCTATTTCAATGCTGATTGATTCGCCAGACGGCTCTGAGATTTTTTCATTGCCTCTTTCTGAGTATAGTGCAACTGACGAATTTCCATAGGATCTATTTCGATTTCTTGTGAAGGTGCTCTATTGACGGCTATTCTGATCTTCTTTCGATGTGCAGTCAGTGAATTCCTTATTATTTCATACAAAGAAGAACTGTCTTATATCCGCTGCCTGTGCTTGTACCTGTCGCCGTTGTTTGATGTTTACTACTGAGCCCAGAGAAAAACAAGTCCGATTACTTTCTTCCTCTCTTGGTCAATAGTTGCATGGAATACGATTTCTTCTTGATGCGCTATGTTTCTCACTCGTTTTAATGGGGATGAGTTTTTTTTCATACGCGTAGCTGAGCAAACTGTCGTTTGTGCTCGTGCTGAAAACTCTGTGAACTCGATTAAGCCACTAACGCGAGGTCAGATTCGACCTTCGCTCTAGTTTAGTTTTCTTCGACTGAAAAACACACACAGATACTGTACACAACACCTAGGCACAGTGAGAGAGAAAGAGAGAGCAGAAAAGATACATAAAATAGAAAAGAGAAGGGAGAGATGGAAAGAGATATGCCTGTTCATAACTATAGACGAATCGAGAGGTAATCAATTAGTCACAAACCGATGTTCGCTGAAGGCCGAATTGTCGTGAATAATTTTTTCCAGATGTTCAATCAGTTTGTTCGGTAAATTGGCCGTCTTCAACGCTTTGATAGTTATAGAGATTTCTTCTGAATCTTGTGCTTCTGCCAATGCTATTTGAATAACTTGGTCAATTAATGGTTGACGATAGGGATTATCCTCATGTAAGACTTGTTCCCATAGAGCCGGATCTTTTCGACGAATCAAATAGCGTGCTTCATATCGGAACATCGAAAATTTATTGCAAACCTAAAATTACATCCATTTCAAGTTTCATAGATCCTTTCATCTCAGTCAGACAGTAAAAATATAACCGATAGCTCAATAATTTTTTCTATCAGTGTACTGAGTCATCATTTCTAGTCGATCTATTGCTCTTGTCTAGTTCGATTACTTACATTGATGATCTC